TTCTGTCAATCCAAAGTAATGGCAGATCTTCAGTTTGTTTACAAGTTTTCAATTTTATTTTATTATCTTTAACTTTCGTTTCAACCCCCCTCTGTGGCTCAGTGGTAAGAGCGCCTACTTTTAAACCTAAAGGTCGTGAGTTCGAATCTCATCTGGGTGGAGAAATTTTCGTTTATTAAAAATTAATAAATGAAAATAATTTCTATCTTTGTGCGATCGGTACTCACCGGAGGGACCGCAGACGTTCGGATACAATTAGCGTCTCTTAGCAAAGACAATGGGGGTTCAAATGAGTAGTGACGCGCAATACAAGGTGCTGCTTCCTGATAGCACCTCTAGCCACTCCTACTCAATTCCTATCCTCACCTCCACGAAGTGCAGCTTAGGCTGCACGGGTGAACCCCGGAGAACCTGAGCAACCCTGCTGGAGATTGGGTAACCAACCCCAGTGGAAGGCAGGGTCAGGGCTGACGAGGAAGGGAGAAATGGCCCTCCGAAAAGGGGGTTGGGCGATAGGCCAGTAACCTATCCTTGTAAAAAAGTACTACTACGAAACCTTCAGAAGGGCCTCGGAATGGACGGAAATCAAGACGACGACTTTGGCAACGGAATATGGAATTTTTGCTGGGAACGTGGAATGTCAGAACACTAAATAGACCAGGAGCACAGAGGATTCTTCTACACGAACTGAAGAGATATAAAATTGGAATCACTGCAGTACAGGAAACTAGATGGCTGGGAAAAGGTATCCGAGACACTAAAACTCATACTATTCTGTATAGCGGTAAAGATGAAGGAAATAAAGAACTCGGAGTAGCCTTTATCGTAGATAATACAATGAAGCACCTGATAACAGACTTTCAAGCCATCAATGAAAGAATCTGCAAGCTTAGGATAAAAACTCATTTCTTTAACGTAACCTTTATAAATGTACACTGCCCTACAAATGAACAGGAAGAAGACACTAAGGTAGCTTTTTATCAAGATCTAGAACGAATCTATGACTCAATACCAGGAAACGACATTAAAATGGTGATAGGTGACACAAACGCCAAAATCGGAAAAGAAGAAGAGTACATAGGGGTAATAGGGAAACATAGTCTGCATAGAGAGACAAATGAGAATGGTCAGTTTCTAATAGACTTCGCAGCTGGAAAGAATATGGTTATCAGTTCGACCTGCTTCCCACATCGGGACATACATAAGGGCACTTGGATATCACCTGACGGAAACACAGTCAATCAAATAGACCACGTACTGGTTGAAAGAAGAATGGCCACAAGTATATTAGATGTAAAAAGTAGGCGTGGAGCAAGCTGTGACTCCGACCATCTACTAGTACAGATACGGTTTAGATGTAAAATCAGTCGACAAGCAAAGGAAAAATATCCGAAACAAGAAAAACTAAACTTAGATAACCTAAAAGTCTCTGAGGTACAAGAAAGATTTGAGAGAACAGTGAGTGAAAAATTACTAGAAGAAAACATAGAAGAATTCACAATAGAAAATCATTGGAACACCATAAGCACTATCGTACTAAACACGGCACAAGAAGTTCTTGGAACAAACACTCAACGGAGAGAAGAACAGTGGTTCGATGAAGAATGCAAACAAGCTATTCACGAAAGAAATGAAGCACATAAGAATTTCATACTCAGACGAACTAGAGAGAGAAGGATAGAATTTGAGAATAAAAGACGAAGAGCTGATAAACTATGCAGACAGAAAAAGAGACGATACGAAAACAACCGGATACTAAACATAGAGAGGGCGTTCAAGGAAAACGAAACACGCAGTGCATACCAACTTATCAAACATTTAAGACAGGGTTACAAACCGAAGACTAGCCTATGCAAAAATAAGAATGGGGAAATAATTAGCGATATGGACGAAATTAAGAGAACCTGGATGATGTATTTTAAGGAATTATTAAACGAAAGGGCACAAACACCACTACAACAGCGGCAGCAGCAGGTAGAACAGGAAGGTCAACAACAGGAGCTGTGGGAAGATAGAGAAGATAATGAATTGGCTAGACCTCCAACGCTAGAGGAGGTTCGAACAGCAATCCAAATGCAAAAAAGCCATAAAGCGCCGGGAATAGATAAGATACCGGCAGAACTGTTCAAGCAGGGAGGAACAAATTTGACAGAACAGATGTACCAGCTTATACAAGAAATATGGAGAGAAGAAAAAATCCCACAACAATGGAAGAAAAGTATAATCTGCCCTATTCATAAAAAAGGAGACAAACTGTTATGCCAGAATTATAGAGGCATCTCTTTACTTTGTTCGGGATACAAAATACTCACAAACATTCTTAATCGAAGACTTCAACCCCTCACTGAAAAAATTATCGGGGAATATCAAGCAGGGTTCAGGCAAAATAGATCTACTATTGACCAACTATTTACAGTTAAACAAATACTAGCCAAAGCATGGGAATATGACATAGACGTCTACAATCTCTTTGTAGATTTCAAGCAAGCCTATGATTCAATAGATAGAACAATACTACCTAATATATTACAAGAATTTGGCATACCATCAAAATTAATAAGACTAGTGCAAATGACAATGACAGAAACAGAAGCACATGTATGTATTCAAGGACAGATCACTGATGCGTTTATGACAACGCAAGGACTGAAACAAGGTGACGGACTGGCTCCAACACTTTTTAATCTTGTTCTTGAATATGTAATTAGACGGTTGACGGTGAGCAGAAATAACATACTTACAAACAAATCTACCCAATTAGTAGCATACGCAGATGACATAAACATAATGAGCAGAACAAAGACTGCGGCAGAAGAAACCTACGTTCAGTTGAAACAGAGTTCAGAAGTTGTAGGGCTAACAATAAATACAAATAAAACAAAACTACTCATACAAACCAGATCAAATAGACAGGCGCAACAACAACAATTTATAGACGATATAGAATACGTGAATAGATTCACGTATTTAGGAATGGATCTGGTCGAAAATAATGAAGAAGAACCGGAAATAAATAGAAGGCTTATGCTGGCAAACAAAGCCTATTTCGCGATGGGCCACATATTCAAATCGCGAGACGTACACCGGAAAACAAAACTCCGGGTATATAAAACAATAATCCGACCCATAGTAAGTTATGGGTGTGAAACATGGGTTATAACACAGAAATCTACCAATGCATTAGACGTGTTCGAAAGAAAAATATTGCGTAGAATACTGGGTCCAATAAAGGAAAATAACAACTGGCGAATTAGATATAATAACGAAATATACGAACAATACACTGAACCAACACTAGCACAATACACTAGACTGCAGAGATTACGATGGGCAGGGCATGTGGCCCGCATGCATGAGAACAGAATCCCCAGAAAATTACTAAACGCAAGAATGCAAGGAAAAAGACCTGTTGGAAGACCAAAAAAGAGATGGGAAGACGAGGTAGATGAGGATGCCAAAAATCTCCTAAAAACGCGTTCATGGAAAAGAACAGCAGTAAATAGAGATGTTTGGAGAGGTCTAATGAAGGAGGCCAAGGCCCGGCTTGGGCTGTAGTGCCATTGGATGGATGGAGCAAAGACAATGACGTCGTCTTTGCTAAGTATCAAGACAATTACTCTACACACACACACACACTACACTAGGTACCTGACTGTATAACCCGACAAGCGAGAGCTGGCGGTTTGCGCGTAGAACAAATTGAAAAGTGGAAGGAATTGCTCATTTCTATTGCAGTCGGCTAGGAGTTCACATCGTGTATAACCGTTTAAGTACCTATACTATATACCTATAATCGCGATTAAGTACCTCTCCTATCTCTCTTAAAATAATTCCTTTTCTATTTTCGCGCAGCTCACCCGCCAGCTCTCGCTTGTCGGATTATACCATGCCAATGTTCTTAGTTGTCGAGGCATTAACTCAATAATAAAAAAAACTTTCGTTTGCGTTTATTCTTAGTAATTTTAATTTAAATTTGGTTACTTAATTTTTAAAGTTTATTTTGAGTTACCTATTGTAGCAAAGAATTTTTGTGTTGTGCTAGTAACAAAACTAAACATGGTGAATTATTGTATTGTTCGTTGTGTACAAATCATGGAAAAATTACAAAAAGGATGATAGTAAGTTGTCAGGAAGCAAAAAATAATAGTATTTAACTTCTGCAAATATGTGTAATAAATATTATGTAATTATTTTATAACTGTTTTATCTTAAACAACAAATAAATATACGTATATCTAGAAAAAATTGTGCATCTTTTATATATCCTTATTTTCCAATAAATTTTAATTAGTAACGAAATAGCCCACAAGAGGCGCTAAAGGGTATGTATGTAAGGGGTGTTCATTCGAATTTGCCGCCAAAAGATGATTAGTATTGACGCCAGCCGCAAGGGGTCCTAATGAACGAAATTTATACATTGAGTTGCCTATCTATTTCTACTATTATATTATTTATCTATGGCCAAACGCGTTGAGGGCAGCTATGGCTTTTACCGCACTTAGAACAGGTATCGTTGTGCAATGAGATTGGAGAACCACAGGAAACCAATCTCCAGGTGTCCTTTGGATTAATGCCTTATGTGACACTCATAGGAATAAATTTATTATGGATTACAGAAGAGATAATAAACTGTAGACTTGACCGACAACAAATTGTAGACTTTTTTCTTTTAATACCAAATTTTGCTTTTAAAAAAATTGGGTACCTATGCATTTTTGTCAAACATTATCTTTTTAATAACAACAAATTCTGCTAAACTTTTTCATTTTATTTGTCATTTTTATTTTATTTATATTATGTATATAAGTAGGAAATAGTTTTAAAAACTAGTGCTATAATACATAAGACTTATAAAGACTCATTTATCTATTGTAAGGTTAATAATAATTTTATTCATTTTCCATTATATTAAACTTTCATTTAAGTTAAACCTTATTTATTAAATTTGTTACTTACTCTCTTTAAAACTACGGATTGGAAAACAATAAGAAACAATAAATAAAATGCAAATAGATTTATTGATGTCAGTTAAACACACTTTATATTGGAAAAAAGTTATTATTATTTCGATTAAAACCAAAAACTCTTTCAGAAAACTTGTATCCTATGATTTTCCCGATCGCACACCAAAATATGCCCGTTTGGAGTCATAGCAACGCCTTCTAATCCTTTAAACTCTCCTTTTCCAATGCCCCAGCAACCAAAAGCTCTCAGAAAACCGCCATCAGGGCTGAATATCTGGATTCTATTGTTTCCAGAATCAGCAACGCAGATATATCCTTGGTCGTCAACTGCTACCCCTCTTGGGAATTTGAATTGACCTTCTTCTGAGCCTTCGGATCCGAAGGAAGTGAGGACTTTACCGTTTACGTCAAATATCTGAATTCTGTGGTTGTTGGAGTCTGAAACTACTACTCTGTTCGTATTTGAGACTGCTATATAATGAGGGTGTTCCAACTGGCCTTCTTTGTTGCCCATGGAACCGAATTTTCCCACGAATGTGCCATCTGATTGGAAAACCTACAATTAAATTAGGTATTAAATTTTGTCTTAATAAAAAGTTACAATTAAGTCATTAAATATTATTAGATTTGTTATTTAGATGTAAGTAAGTGAAACTAATGTTTATACAAAGACAAGTAATGTTCTAGTTCTTTAAGGGTATAGCGACCCACAAAGGTCGCTTTTGTGGATATAACAAACCATATAATATGGTAATATTTATGGTAATATATTACTGTATTGTTACGATTTTAAATGTTATGGCATATAGAACTGTAAATATTTTATGACTAATTCTTTTATTGATTCTCGTAATTTCTAGGTCAAAAATCTACCTGAATCGAATGTTCTGGGGGCGACAAGCCGATAAAAAAACATGTTTTGAGACCAGTCGCCGCTGTGTCTACATCGAGAACAGCATGGTATTTTCTACACCTTTCTGTTTACCGGCTTGGAATTATATAAATAAGGGAATACTTTCATTAAGGAGTCAGTCATAAGAAGATCGGTAAACGCGGTATTTAAATGTAACGAAACGTGAAATAAATACATTTGTAAAGTTATTTAATAAATTAGTAATTAGCTATCGTGAGTTTTAATAAATTAGATTATAGACAATAAATTAGAATAAAGACAAATAAATTAGAACTATATAAACGTCACAATGGTGCAGAAGTGGGATTGTAGATAAATTTAATTTGATTTTTGAAAAAGACTTTTGAACTTTTGAAAGGTATTGTTCGTCGGGAACATCCGCGTAGTTCAGTAGTGATCGTTGTACGAAAGAACATTTAAAAAGTACGTGTGTGCCTGACCAAAGATGCTGCTAGTAGAACTGTCAGTAAAACAGTTGCGTGAGCAACTAGAAGAACGCGATGAAGACTGCAGCGGATCCAAGAAGATCCTCCAAGAACGACTAAAAAATGTTCTTAACAAGAATGGAGATGACCCAGAGACATTCCATTTTCAATCAGCAGAAGAAGCAGTTTTAATGAAGATCGAAGAGAGTTCTAAAAAAAATGATGAAAGATTCAATGAAACGTCTCAAATTATTAAAGAAGTAGCTAGACAAAATGACGAGAAATTTGAAAATGTTGCTAGAAGATTTGACGAGACTTCTCAAATAATTAAAGAAATATGTATTCAGAATAGTGAGAAGTTTGAAGAAGTCTCTAAAACATTTGATAAAGTTGAAGAGAAAATCAAACAGTTAGAGACCATGATAACTAACACGAGAGTGCTACCACCAATTAATACGGTAGCTTTAGATCCGGTAGAGATAAAAGAAGACGAGACGAAATGTAAGTTGGAAACGCGGCCGAAATTTGAAGGATGTGGAGTTTCTGTTCATGTCAAAGTTCCAACTTTCGACGGAAAATCATCATGGAACAACTACATGAAACAGTTCGAATCAGCTGCAAGAGCGAATGGATGGTCTGAAAAAGAAAAGGCTGTAAACCTGACTATCGCTCTTCGAGGAGATGCCTTAGATGTGCTCCAGACCATAGCCGTAGAGGAGACGGATGATTTCGAACAACTGAAGAAGAGGTTAAATATGCGATATGGCCACGAACACTTGGAGCATGTATATCAGTCGCAGCTCAAAAATCGAAGACAAAAGAAAGATGAGGCTCTTCAAGAATATGAAGTAGATATCGCCAGATTAGTGCGATATGCTTATCCAACAGCTCCCGAAGACATGATGGAAAAGTTGGCCGTTCAAACGTTTATTGATGGTCTTCGTGATCATGAGATGCAAAGAACACTACGATTAGCTCGTCACAAGACGCTGGTTGATGTCTTATCCGCCGCCCTCGAATACGAGTCAGCTACGCAGGCCTCTGGCGGTTACAGTAAAGTTAGGACTGTAAAAGAGGAAGAAGATGAAGATAAACTGGACCAGCTCTTTAATATGATAAAAAGCATGACACACAAGAAAACGAAGACCATAAGACAGAAGACAAAACCAGAACGCGTCGGCCTTAGGGGAGCAGCTTCGACCCAGAACTTTACCAAAGACCCTCTGATACTAATAGCTTCTTTGAAATGTCGTGAAGATAGTGTATATGTAGATGGAGAAATAAATGGTAAAAAGTATACGTTGTTGGTGGATACCGGAGCGACCAGAAGCATTATACGCCCGACAGTTATAAACAGCCGAAAGAAACTGTTACCAACGAGATTGCGACTTCGGACCGCCACAGGTGAAAATGCCAACATTCATGGAGAAATCCAGGTACAATTAGGAATTGGAGCAGAAAAGTTCGTCCATACTGTTATAGTTGCTGACATCGAAGAGGATGTTATATTAGGAATGGACGTAATGAATGCGCATGGATTCCAATTGGATTTTAAGAATAAGGTAATCAAAGTTGGTAACGAGGAGGTATTTCTCCATCCACATGATGACAACACTATGCAAGCAGCCGTTAAAGAAGATACAGTCGTGCCTGCGAGAAGTGAAACGATAATAGTAGCGCGGCTACAGGGAATTGTGGACGAAGGAACACCTGTTATGATGGAGCCTTGGAATCATGACGACGAAGTTGGCCGTGGAATCATAATTGGAAAAGAATTAGTGACTTCGGCTAAAGAAATTCCTGTGAGACTTATCAATGTCAATGACTATCCAGTCACCATCAAGAAAGAGACAAAAGTAGGAACTTGCGTACCTGTGACATCCATAATTCGTCAGACGACAACGTCTGATAATTCCAACGACAAATTTGAGCAAATGATTGCAGTTGCTGGACAGTCTCTGAATCAGAATGAGAAAAGGAAATTAAGGGAATTTCTTCGGCAGTATCGTGATATTTTCGTACCAAAAGGAGGAAAGACGGGAAGAACTACCGTTGTTAAGCATAAAATTGATACTGGTAATGCTAAGCCAATTCGTCAAACAGCTCGACGATTACCACAGGCGAAAAGAGAGGAAGCTGAAACGATTGTTCAGGAAATGAAGAAAGACGGGGTGATAGAACCTTCTACGAGCCCATGGGTCTCTCCGGTGGTCCTGGTTAAGAAGAAAGACGGAACAACGAGGTTCTGTGTGGATTACCGTTTGCTGAACAACGTTACCAAGAAAGATAGTTATCCTCTGCCTCGGATCGATGACACATTAGACACATTGGCTGGAAGTAAATTATTTTCTACTTTGGATTTGAAGTCTGGATACTGGCAGGTAGAAATGGACCCGGTAGATAAAGAAAAGACAGCCTTCACCACAGGATCTGGATTATGGCAATTCAACGTTATGCCATTTGGACTTTGTAACGCTCCTGCGACATTTGAGAGGCTTATGGAAAATGTGTTGAGAGGGCTATCTTGGAAAACATGCCTAGTTTATCTAGATGACATAATCGTCTTGGGGGAGACATTTGAAGATCATCTGAAGAATTTAGAAAACGTTTTTAATCGACTTAAAGCTGCCCAATTGATGTTAAACCCTAAGAAGTGCCAGCTATTTCAAGGTAAAGTCAATTATCTGGGTCATATAGTCAGTAAAGAAGGAGTGGCTGTGGATAAGGGAAAAATTGATTCCATTAAGGAATGGCCAAAACCAACTGACAAACACCAAGTGAGAAGTTTTCTGGGACTATGTACTTACTACCGGAGGTTTATTAAGAAGTTTGCAGATATCGCTAAACCATTAACGCGACTTACAGAGGAAGCAAGAGAATACCGCTGGGATGTAGACTGCCAGAATGCCTTTGAGACCTTAAAAAAGCATTTAATCACAGCACCAATTTTAGGGTATCCACTGCCAGAAGGAGAGTTCATCTTAGATACAGATGCAAGTAATGTGGGAATTGGAGGAGTGCTGTCTCAGATTCAAGGAGGACAGGAAAGAGTCCTTGGATATTTTAGTAAAGTTCTCTCAAAACCTGAGCGAAATTATTGCGTCACGAGAAGAGAACTTCTGGCAGTAGTAAAATCAGTAGAGCACTTCTATCAATACCTCTATGGAAGGAAATTTTTAATCCGAACCGACCATGCCGCCCTTAAGTGGTTGATGCAGTTTAAGAATCCAGAGGGTCAGATAGCCAGGTGGATCGAACGACTCCAAGAATATGATTTTAAGATTGAGCACCGGGCCGGAGTTAGCCACCGAAACGCCGATTCTCTTTCCAGAAGGCCATGCCCAGCAGAGTGTTCTCACTGCAACAAAACGGAATCCAAGGAAGCAGCAGTGCTAAGAACGACGGTGGTCCACGACGACTGGACGCCTACCAAGATCAGGGAAGAACAAGAGAGAGATCCAGTTATACAGAAAATCCGAAAATGGAAAGAGGAAAACCGTCGACCACCTTGGCAAGAAATATCGAACCTAGGCTCAGTAGTTAAGACGTATTGGGCCCAGTGGGACTCATTTATCATGGAAGATAGCTTGCTCAAACGAGTCCTGGAAAATGATGACGGTTCAGAGAAGAGAAGACAGTTGGTGATTCCAAAGAGCAGAATAGCCGAAGTACTTCGTCAGTTACACGACAGTCCATCAGGAGGGCATTTTGGTGTGAAGAAGACCCTTCAGCGAATTCGGGAACGGTTTTATTGGATGAACAGTTCCGACGATGTAAAAGACTGGTGTAAGAAATGTACTATTTGTGCTACGAGTAACGGGCCTTATCGAAAAAGGAGAGCTCCTATGAGACAATATAATGTTGGAAGCCCGTTTGAAAGAATAGCTTTGGACATTGCTGGGCCGTTTCCAGAAAGTGATAATGGAGGCAAGTACATGTTGGTAGTAATGGATTACTTCACTAAGTGGGTCGAGATTTACGCACTTCCAGACCAGAAGGCGGCCACCGTTGCAGATAAGTTGATCCAAGAATATATCAGCCGATTTGGAGTGCCTTTGGAGATCCATAGTGACCAAGGCAGGAACTTCGAAAGCGATTTATTCCAAGGAATATGTGATAGACTAGGTATGAAGAAAACAAGGACTACGGCTTATCATCCGCAATCGGATGGTATGGTAGAACGAATGAATAGAACAGTTGGCAAGTATTTGACAAAGATGGTGTCCGATCATCAGCGAGACTGGGACCAATATCTCCCGTTTTTCACAATGGCCTACAGATCTGCTGTTAATGAATCAACAGGCCAGACACCAGCCAAAGTCCTATTCGGACGCGAGATGCGACTACCTTGTGATCTAGAGTTTGGGTGTCGACCTGGAGAAGATGTAGCAGGTGAAGATTATGTGATCGAATTACGAAGAAGAATGGACAATGTTCACGAGTTGGTCCGTTCCCATCTCCAGATCGCTAGTGACCGAATGAAGAAACGGTACGATACGCAAGCCGAAAAGGGGTGTTTTAAGAAGAACGATAAAGTCTGGCTTTATAACCCCAAAAAGCGAAAAGGTTGTTCTCCCAAATTGCAGCAGTTTTGGGAAGGTCCATACCTCATTATGGAGAAGATCAATGATGTTATTTACCGAATAAGCAAGATTCCGAGGGGAAAGCCGATGATAGTACACCATAACCGGCTGGCGTCTTTCGAAGGTGACCACGACGTAGATGAAGAAGTGGAAGTAAACCAAGTCCAAGATGTGTCTGACCTCACGTTTAAGGAATTCATGGGTGCCTATGGAGGTACCGGTAAAGCAAGACATGGTGTTACCACTGAAGAAAAGCAAGATCTACTCGCGCTTCCCGATGACTACTCACTGGCCCTTACCATCCCGGCCAGTATCAAAGACGCACCAGGGTTGGCATCCGTCTTTCGAAGGAAGTTCGGTCGAGTTGCAGAACTTCAATGCCAAGTGCCAGCTCCTGGAAAAGCCTTAAAACTTCAAGATGCATCACGTTACCTTTTCTACCTGGTAACAAAAGACACTGCCCGTGATCAACCTACCTACCGAGATGTATGGGAAGCCTTACTTCAGTTGAGAGAGCACGTACTAGAGTCCGACGTGCAAAAGTTAGCCATGCCAAAGTTGGAGTGCCGCCAATTAGATTGGAGGGTTATACGAAACATGGTGGAGGAAATCTTTAAAGACACCGAAGTCCAGGTGTTAGTCTGTTGCAATCCGCATAGTTACTGGTGCGGAGAGAAAACCGTCCCTTGTCATTTCTATACAACTGGAAGTTGTAAAAGAGGGTCCAGTTGCCGATATCAGCATGTCGTTCCAGTTCCAGTCCCGACAAGGTTCCAGGAGGAACCATCTTTTAAGAGGGGGGCAATGTTACGATTTTAAATGTTATGGCATATAGAACTGTAAATATTTTATGACTAATTCTTTTATTGATTCTCGTAATTTCTAGGTCAAAAATCTACCTGAATCGAATGTTCTGGGGGCGACAAGCCGATAAAAAAACATGTTTTGAGACCAGTCGCCGCTGTGTCTACATCGAGAACAGCATGGTATCTTCTACACCTTTCTGTTTACCGGCTTGGAATTATATAAATAAGGGAAGACTTTCATTGAGGAGTCAGTCATAAGAAGATCGGTAAACGCGGTATTTAAATGTAACGAAACGTGAAATAAATACATTTGTAAAGTTATTTAATAAATTAGTAATTAGCTATCGTGAGTTTTAATAAATTAGATTATAGACAATAAATTAGAATAAAGACAAATAAATTAGAACTATATAAACGTCACAGTATGGTTAAGATAAAACCTCCAATGCAAGTCAATTCAAAAAAAAATAATTGTCGAGGTGATATGTTATAGTTTTGTAGTGGAAGTCGACCCCATAACACTAGGCCGTAGAGGCACAAACACTTACTTATAAGGAAAGCTGGGATCATCGAAAAAATGCCATTTTTGACTATTTTACCTATTCTAGGTCTTCGATATTAATTTTTCCGATCACCATCCATTTTGTTTTCTTTGCTTTGATTGTTTAGCCTTTTTCAGTGCATTTGTTGTTTACAGCGTTTAACAGGGTTTGCAGGTCTTCTAAATTTTCTGCCATTATGGCGGTATCATCTACGTATCTGATGTTATTAATAATTTCAGCACCGATTTTAACACCAAGTGGTCTCATTAAAAGGAGAAAGACCGCATATTTGGGGCACATACTTAGAAATGAGAAGCACGAGTTTTGCAGCTGATTATGAAGGGTAAAATCGAAGAAAAAAGGGGTCCTGGTAGACGATAAATATCCTGGCTGAAAAACATTCCAGACTGGACCGGGCTAAACACACAGACACTTTTAAGAAAAGCAGAATATGGAGACGAATTTGCAATGGTTATAGCCAACTTTCTTTAGTGGAGCCGGTCACTACAAGAAGAGCAATCCAATGTCATACATGTCCGGACCAACTGAGTCCAAGCATTGAAATTGTAATGTATGCGGTATTCTATTAAAGGCTTTTTCGAAATCTATAAAACATAAGTAAATTCGAGGAACGAGAAGCATTCTACGAATAATTGCAAACCACCCTAGATGAAATACCTCATGAAGAGCCCTTAATTCTTATGGGTGACTTTAATGCACAAATCGAAAATGAAATAGTTCCAGAGTAAAACAAAGATTTAATGAAAACCATGTCAACGTAAATGGAGAACTCATGGCTAATCTCTGTGCTTTTAATGAACTCAGAATCAATAATACATTTTTCGAAGATAAGCATAAAAGAAATAAAAGAGAAATGTAAAGAGAAACGAGAGGCCTACATGAAATACAAAACATCAAATACCCAGAATCTAGAGACTAGAATACGAAATGAAACAAAGCAGTTGGTAAGAACAACAAAAAATGAACACTGGGAACAGTTTACAAAAAGGATGGAAAGCGACTTCTACGGTACACAAAAACAAATATGGAGATTTATAAGAAACCAACGGAAAGAAATGGCAGAATTGAAGGAATACAATAACATTCCAGCAAACGAATGAGAAAGATACCTGACGGAACTGTTTAAAGCAAAGGAAAATAATAATCAACACAATAACGTACCTGAATTAAGACACGAAATAGAAATCAGTTTTCCAGGAAGTAGAAATAGCCATAAATTCGCTCAAAAATAAAAAGTCGCCAGACCAGACGGAATAACCAACGAGCTTCTAAAATACGGAGGAGAAAGTATAACCCTAGAGATGACAAAACTTATACAAAAACTAATATTGCACTGCAAGATACCAGACGCATGGAGAAACAGCATAATGATACCAATGTTCAAGAAAGGAGATAAAGAAGACCTCAACAATTATAGAGGTATAAATCTACTGAACACCGCACTTAAGCTTACCACAAAAGTCCTAACCAATAAAATCAATAAACTAACAACTTTATCAGATGAACAACAAGGATTCAGATCCGGAAGATCCTACGTAGACGCCGTATTTGTATTAAGACAAATCACAGAAAAGGCCATCGAGTACAATAAACCAGCATATCTATGTTTTATAGACCTGACAAAGGCTTTCGATCGCATCCAAGTCGAAGACGTCTTACACCTACTGTATAAAAGAAACATACCAATCAGTATTATACAAACCATCGAAAACATCTACCTCCAAAATCGAATACAGGCAAAGATAAATGGAAAACTAACACAGTGTATACCAGTACAAAGCGGAGTCAGATAGGGTGACTCGTTGAGCCCACTTCTTTTAATATAATAAGGACGAAATAATACAAGTAGTACGTAAAGGTCATGGCTACAGAATGGGGAACAAAGAAATCCAAATATTATGTTATGCAGACGACGCCGCTCCAAAGATTAACACATATCTTCAATACAACAGCTAAGAATACAATATGATAATATCAGCAGACAAAACCAAATGTATGATAACATCTAAATACCCACTACGGTGTAAAATCGAAATTGATGGGAAAATAATAAAGCAGGAAGCAAGGTTTAGATATTTGGGAATAGATATAACTAGTTACGGAGATGTTAAAGAAGAAGTACGACAACAAAGCTTAAAAGCAAGTACAGCGGCGGGTTCTCTTAATGACACAATCTGGAAGAACAAACACCTAAGACAAGACATAAAAACAAGAATCTATAAAGCAGCAATTAGACCTATATTAACATACACGGCGGAGACAAGACCTGACACATCTAAAACGAGACGACTGCTAGAAACAACAGAGATGAAAATACTCCGACGAATATCAGGGAGAAGTCTATTGGATAGGGAAAGAAGCGAAAACATAAGAAGAGCATGCAATATAGAAGACATAAATGGATGGGTGACAAAACGAAAACAGGAGTGGAACGAACATATCAGTAGAATGGCAGAGGATAGAATAGTACGAATAGCACGAGATAAGTCACCAAATGGACGAAGAAGTATTGGCAGACCAAGAAAAAGATGGTGCGACAATTTAGGAGGCTAATATTGAAGAAGAAACAGGCTTTAAAGCCTACATACTAGAAGGAAGAAGAAGAAGATAAGTAAATATTTTTTCTAAACTCAATGCTCTTTTGTAAAAGAGCTTCCCTAGTACCCATACCGTTTCGAAAACCAAAATGCTCATCATCAGTTATCCCCTCACAAAGTTTAAATATGCGACAATGCAATATTTGCATAAAAAATTGAGCGTATGAATTTTACATCACAAAAATTAATATTTAGTAGAGTTATTATTATGATCTGGCACTCTTTTTAATCCCTTTATTACCTGCACTCTGTGATTTTCCTTATCACACACATATATGAACCCTAAAGCATCTGTTGTTATGCCCCAAGGATAGTTGAAACGACCGTCTGCAGTCCCTTGGCTTCCAAATGCTCTTAAAAAGCGTCCTGATGGATCGAAAACCTAAAAATAAATAATGAATAGTTATCAAATTATTGTACAATTCATATATCAATAGTTAATTTAAAGTAAATTTGTCAAAATTTTTGTCAAAAAATACTAAAGTTAAAAGACACGATAAGAAATTTAAAAGAAAAATTAAAAATGAACAGATTTTACAATTTTTAAAGATATTTTTCTTGAGATTCTTGTTACTGCTTTACTTGTGTATATAAACTTAATTTAATATTGACCAGAAATATTGGAAGCAAAAAGTTGTTATAATGAATGATAGTTAAAGGACCACCGAAACTCAGAAAGCGATAGAAAAATATATAGAAACGCAAGCTGGGAAAAAATTAAAAACAATATTGAAGAAGCAGCAACAGAAGCTCTAGGAAAACGCAAACTGAACAAAAGAAACAACAACAATACACCATGGTTCAGAAAAGAAATAAAAGAGAAATGAAAAGAGAAACGAGAGGCCTACACGAAGTACAAAACATCAAATATTCCAGAATCCCGAGTCACCTATACAAGAATACGAAATGAAACAAATTAGTTGGTAAGAAGAACAAAAAATGAACACTGAAAACAGTTTAAAAAAGAATGGAAAGCGACTTCTACGATACACGAAAACAAATATGGAGATTCATAAGAAACCAACGGAAAGAAATGGCAGAATTGAAGGAATACAATAACATACCACCCAACGAATGAGAAAGATACCTGACGGAACTGTTTAAAGGAAATACAATAACGTATCTGAATTAAGACACGAAATAGAAATCACTTGTTACTGCTTTACTTGTGTATATAAACTTAATTTAATATTGACCAGAATATTGGAAGAAATAGAAATCAGTTTTCAGGAAGTAGAGATAGCCATAAATTCACTCAAAAATAGAAAATCACCAGGACCAGACGGAATAACGAATGAGCTTCTAAAATACGGAGGAGAAAGTATAACTCTAGAGATGACAAAACTTATATAAAAACTTGTATTGCACTGCAAGATACCAGACGCATGGAGAAACAGCATAATGATATCAATGTTCAAGAAAGGAGATAAAGAAGACCCCAACAATTATAGCATTAGCGTAATTAAATTAACAACTTTATCAGATGAACACAAAGGATTCAGATCCGGAAGATCCTGCGTAGACGCCGTATTTGTACTAAGAAAAATCACAGAAAAGGCCATCGAGTACAATAAACCAGCATATCTATGTTTTATAGACCTGACAAAGGCTTTCAATCACATCCAAGTCGAAGACGTCTTACACCTACTATATAAAAGAAACATACCAATCAATATTATAATATAAACCATCGAAAACATCTATCTCCATAATCGAATACAGCATGGACATATAAACATAGATGGACTCATTTACATAAAATTGTGAAGTCAAAATTATTTGAATAGGTCACATTCTGAGCACCTTCAACTGTTGTCACGTTTCGTTTTAAAATTTCTTATTCGCGAGTCGCTGAAAATATTACTCCGTATTTTATACTCTACAGGTGCTATCAAACCAAAATAATAATTTATTGGTTATATTAATATATTTAATTGTAATCAAAATATCAAGTGTGCACATAGTGTGCATTATCATTTAATAATAGCGTATAATAGATATCAATCAATTATTTTATATGTAGAAGCACTGAAAACTATTTATAAATGGCAACGGTTGTTTACATTTCTCTGTCTTATGGATCTACGTCAAACTTCAAATGCTGTTCCATGTTTGTTTACTTTTTAGAGTAAATGAGGAAAAAGTTATTTTTCGATATTTTGGCTGTATTTTGAGTGATATTTGTGAAAAGTGAAATAAAATAAACGAAATATTTACATCCCGATCTCTCATTTCATTTGTAAGTACATACAATTTACATTATTTAAGATGAGGAAATGAGGAAGCGTGTTTGTTTACATTTTAATAGGCGTACCATTGGGTTTATTCATGTTCAATAATGTATTGAATAAGATATGAGTTCATTAAAATTGTAGACATTTATAAATTGTAAGTAGACATCATCTGATTAAAAAAGATCTGTTTAGTACCTTTTTAATTTAATATTTCTCATGGATACAAATAAATTAGTGAAATGAATAAAACTCATTTATTTTTCTATGTAGGTTTCCAAATAATATTGACGATCAAACTATTTGGGTAGCAAATTAAGGAGAAAACATAAAGATTTTTTATTGTAGCATTATTTTGATACTATTAAGAAATTAACTTGAATTCAACTATATTTAATTGTATTAATTTTAAAACAAATAAAATTGTATTTTAATTTTTCTATAAAGACGTGATTTGTTAATAGTTAAACTCTCGTTTTTTTTTTAATTCTTTGAACGTGTTTTTATACATTATTACTACTTCCAATTTTTAAAATCTGAATAATTACCTACGAGTAAAAATTCAAGCACGCTTATGCTCATCGCGGAAGCATCACATTCTATCGAAGCTTCAAAACATTGTGTGTTAAAGGTATCTTATTGCTGTGTCCATCTATGTTTATACGTCCATGGAATACAGGCAAAGATAAATGGAAAACTAACACAGTGGATTAAGAGTACAGTAAGAATTAAGAGGCTAATATTGAAGAAGAAATAAGCTTTAAAGCCTACATACAGGAAGGAAGAAGAAGATAGAAAGCTGCTGTAATAACTGGGAAATTACCAAAAAGTAGCAGCAAACAGAAGTAAGGTGATGTAATTTTGTACTTGTCTTGAGACTTCAAGACAATACTTATGCTTTTTTGACAGGCTATACTTACTTGTATTCTATGGTTGTATCTATCAGCAATGATGTACTGTCCTATACGATTGACAACAACACCAGCAAGACAATCAAACTCTCCCTCTTTATTACCATACTGTCCGAACTCTTTAATAAAACGTCCGTTAGCGTCGAAAACTTGAACTCTGTGATTGGAGGAATCGGCAACGACGATAGTATTGTCTGGACCGACGGCAACACCGCGCGGCCATGTGAAGCATCCGGCTTCGCTCCCCCGGCTACCTATTTGAAACAGCTGCTCGCACTTTTGAAGGTACTGGCTTCTAGGGGTGGTACCTGCTACTGCTTGGGCGATACCTACAAGAAAAATTAGTAAAATATTAATCCTACAATTATTTGTAACATTTAGGGCTTAGTAGGTTAGTTTTAATTAAATATTAAAGGGATTGACGTTAATGGATTCTATGTATTGAACAACCCTTCTTAAAACTATGACTATTTATCTTCTTTTTCTTCACTTTTAAGTTTTACGCTAGAGTCTCTTCCACGTTCTAGTTTAGGTGTCTCTCCACATTTGGCCAACTTCTTTTTTATTTTATTGATAACAGCATCAACCACTTTGGGTTATTAGCTGTACTTTAATAATTAATGCGTAGATACTTAAATCTAAACAGTATTTTTGATTAATTATTAGGTTCACAATTAGATAAGAGTGCCATATATTACAATTTGTAAATAGGGTTTGAGTTTGATTGGGAACGATTCCATTCGTTTTCTCATTCATTTGTCACTTTTTCTTTAAGATACAATTTGTGGTCGGAAACAGACCCTAAGTTCAGTAACACTGAAGAGGCATTATGTATTGCTTCCCTGTTGCTGATCTTTAATATTTCGCAGGGTACATTGTCCGGACCTGCTGACTTATTGTTTTTTAGTGCTGCAATGGCATCTTCTATCTCCGATTTAAGGATTGAAGGTCCTGTTTCTCCTTCTCCATATAGGTGATCATCAGTCCTGTCAGATGCAAATAATTTTTCTATGTATGATTTCCATGTTTTTAAGATCGTTGATGGCTCCGAGATAAGATTTCCATCGCTATATTTTATGCTGTTGGGTGACTTATTGAATTTCCTCTTGTTTGTCATCGATTTTATTTTTTTGTGCATATTGTAACTGTCGTATTTTCGTTCGTATTGTTCTATTTCCCTGCATTCGTTGGAAAACCATTTTTCTTTGGCTTCTCGAATTTTATTTCGAATATTTTTCTCGAATTTCTCGAATATTTTTATAAAATCTACAACATGGATAAGAGTGGTTTACAAACAGTATCAAATAAATTACCTAAACATGTTGCTCCCACTGGAAAAAAGTAGCAAAAAATGTAGCTACAGAGCAAGGAAGAACTGTGACAGCTGCATATTCTATAAGTGCAACACGACACTATGTTCCACCATTCTTTATTTTCACACGCAAAAGACTAAATCCTCTTTTGATAAAGGACGCTCCAACTGGTTCTGTTTTGGCTGTAACTGATTCTGGATACATGAATTCAGTTAAGTTTCTTTAATATTTGGAGCACTTTCGCAAATATACAAATCCTACAGCTGAAAGCCCAATGCTATTAATGTTGGATAACCACATATCCCATACTACTCTAGAGGCCATCACTTACGCAAAAAATAACATCCATTTGCTCAGCCTCCCACGTCATAGCAGCCATCGAACTCAACCAATGGACAGAAACTTTTTTAAGCCATTAAAAGCTTACTATGATGATTTGTGTGATAATTGGACCACGTCTAATCCCGGGCAAGTAGTCACAGAATACCACGTCGCTGGATTATTCAAGCAGGAGGCCTATGAGAAAACTGCTACTATAGAAAAAGCTGCTAATGGATTTAAAATGACTAAATCTAAATTCCCTTCAGATGAAAATATCTTTACTGAAGAAGATTTTTTACCTTCTTCAGTAACTGAACAAGAGCAAGAAGAAGTAGATGATCTGACCAAAATAATAAAGATACACAATTAAGGATTGTATTTGACGAAGACAAAAGTCAGGAAAATAACAAAGCAGAAGAACCAAATAGTAAAGCAGAAGAACCAAGTGGTGAAGCAGAAGAACGAATTGTTGAAAATCTACCAGGTAGAGCTACAATTTCAAGTAACCTGGAATCAAAAACCGGAAGCTCGAAAAATGAAATGTCTACTACGTTACCGTCAGATATCATTTCGTTGCCAAAACTAACCAAAAAGAGAAAACAAACAAGAAAAGGATTGAAATCTACACTTCTGACATCTACTCCACATAAAGAGCAAATGGAAATATCAGAGCTGGAGAAGAAATACAAAATGAACGAGAAAAAAGGAAGGAAAGCATTAAGGAAAATAAAAATACAGTAAGAAAAGTATTTGAAGAAAAACAAAATATACTAAATAAAAAGGAATATGAATATTCTTCTGACTCGCACGATATCACTTCATAATAGTAGCAGCAATTTAAGTTTTTTTGAAAGTGATGCTGAAAATGAATTATCCGAATTAAGTCAAGGAGAGTTTGCTATATTAAAAGTTTACGGCTAAACCAAGGACTCATTTCGAATGTACATTATGCGAATTACTGTAATGGCAGATGAGGGTTACAGTGGTATTTATTATAGAAGGGCACCCAATACAATGCGTTTTTCAGAAACTGACGAAGAGTTTTTTGTTAACAAGACAGACATAAGGAAACTTTCCAAGCCATTGCTAGGCAGTTCTGCTAGATTTAAGGACTTTGTGAGCTTTTCAACCGATTTAAGTGATTTAATGTTGCACTAGTTGTAACCTAAAAAGTGTTTCAGCAAAAATTTCTTTTTTAGGTCATATATCTACTTGTTTGTATGTTTATAAGTTTTTAGATCATGGTTTTTGACAAAATAAAGATTTGTATTTGATACGTATTTAATTTTTATTTTTATAAAATTATTTTTATTCAAATGGGGCAAGAATCCGATTTGTAAAATATTGTACTTTGTGCTATAGTTTTTTTCCTACAGCTATTTAGCTGTCGTTTTATATTTACAGCTAAGGGCATTAGTTATCCTAATGGCCCGACAAGTTTAATATATTATACTGCAATCAAAAGTGTGGCAAATATTGCATATATATATATATATATATATATATTATTATACTTTTTCTTCCACAAACGCGGAAGGAACAAAAATAATTAAGGAATCCATCGGAAGTAAGTTTTTAAGAAATCTGAAGACAAAATATGTATTAATTTTAAGATAGAAAGTTTGTATATTTGTAAATAGATAGATTAGTACCGAAATTTTATGACTTATAAAGAACTAAGCCATTCTAAACGAGTTATTGACAAACCATTTGTACATTATAGAAAATAAGCTGTTACCTGAAGGATTAGTCCGGTATTGTGTTGTATAAATCTTCTATTATGACTAAGGCAAAAATCTTTGAAATGTATAAAAATTATTTGTTTACAAGGAAATGACCATTGTTAAAAGATTAAAGTTCCTTGCTTGAAAACGGTAATTAGCATTCCAACAAGTGTGGTAAACAAATTTGGATTTTGTGATGAGACGATCTTTTTGGAAGGGGAAATCGACAGACCGAGGGTTGATAGAGTTTTTGTTGGTTCGAGAAGACAGTGATGTTTGAGTGATCGAAAAGAAAGGTTGCGTCTCGACAGGCGGTGTGTTCGTGAGTTGGAGGCCGGCATTGTTAAGTGGATAAAGTTACCAGTCTTGTTAGCAGAATTGTGGAAGAAGTAGATTGCAAGTCGATGTAAAGAAATCCTTGAATCTAAAGTGTGCAGTTTCTGGAATACGTGTTAAATAGTTGTGGCACCAGGTGAGAAAAGAGATCCTTGGGTCACGAAGAAGTTATATGAATGTTTGAAGAAGTGATTTTCGTGTGTTAAGTGTTGGAGAATTGAGTCAGGAGGTTAAATTAAGTCAGTTAAATTGGCTGAAGGAGCAGATACTGAAACAAGAAGCCGAGGCGCAAGGTGGAAGAACACATTGCTGTGGAAGGTGGACAATTCTTTGTGTGGTCCTAAAACAATCCAGGGAAGAAAGGTCAGATATTTTCCTTTTTCAAGTTGAAAGGTGTGTAAATCTTAAATGCGATTTGTTTACCTCATTGTTGTTACCAGTTTAAAGCATGATTAGACCTTTTTACGTTTATCAAATGTTTTAAAGTTTTGTTTCCATAATAAAATAGATTTTTTAAATATAAGGAAGATAAAAGTTTATAAAGGTATCCAAATTTAAATTAGTTTCAAATTGTTTTGTCTCAAGAAGAAAATAAGAATTAAAATTTTCTTTTTGTATTAATTTCATTACATGCATATTCGCTGATTGAAAAGATAACGGCAAATTTAATAATTGTTTTTTTTTATAAAATAAAAAATATCTGTATTTTATGTATTATACTTTTTATTATTATCCTTTGTTTTTCCTATCCCGATAAATACAACTAGAAAACTTTGAACTCACTGAACATAAGAAATATCAGAAGTTTATTTTTTAGGACATTGATAACGAGAAAGTATATTTTTGTGATTGTTTCAAGTAAATAAATTAAAATCAAAAATACAAAATCATAACAACTGTCGCCCAAACGTGTGAAGCTTAGAAAGTATTTCTAGTTGGAATTTAAAAGGATAGGGAAAGAAAGCAGGTTGATTGAGAATTTATTTCCGATGGTCAAAGTTTATAATAACTGCATTTTATGACATAACATTTCAAATTTCTCTAGGTACAAGTTTTGCATGATATATTTTATTATATTTGATTGATTTTTACAATTGACAAAAGTTTTAAATTTTATTGCATTTATTTAAATTTATTGCATTTGGGATAAGAGAAAAATTTTTTCGTCTTTGCAACATTACTCGAATTTCATATTTGGCGGGGATATTATTGCACAAATTTAAGAGTTTCATATCAGGCGGGGATAAATTTGAACTACATGTCGATCACGAGAAGCAAAAGCAAAGAAAACAAAAAACAAGAAGAACATATAGAACAAGAAGACATTTTTGAAACAACAATCATGGCATCAGAACAACAGGAATTGTCAGGAATAGAGAAAATGTTACAAATAATGATGCAAAAAATGGATAAAGTGGATAAAACAATGGAACAGAATCAAAGAGAAACTCACAAGAGAATGGAAGAAAATCAACGTGAAACGAAACAAGCAATAGAAAAAAACCGACAGGAAACACAACAAGTGATAAAAGAAGTTAAAAGTTGCTTAGAGAATGTTAAAAAAGAAATGGCAGAACAAGAGGTGGAAATTAAAAAAATGAAAAACAAAATGGAAAAGGAATTAGAAGAGTTAGA